GGTGCAAGAAATCTACGCCGACCTCCGACAATTTATGCTTGCCCGCAGAGCGGGAGTCACGGCGGGCCCCCAGGGGGAAGCTGGCATGCAGATTTTCCAACCAGAGGTTGTTATGGATACTGCCTCGACGAGGGTCGGTACCAATCGTTGCAATGTCTCTTTGCGGCGTAGTTGCGCCCCTTGGGGGTTCAGAGGCAGTCTTGGAGGCCAGCTGAGAATGTTTTGTGGTCCATGGGGCACGACGCGCGTGAGGGATGTACCGTATGGAGGCTCCAAGAAGCCGTCTCGGGGGCCAGCTGAGCGCAGAACAATCGCGAAGTGCGTGAGGGGTGTGCCGAATTGAGGTTCCCGTCAACATGGAAGGGCAATCCACTCGTTTGTTGACGTCTCCCAGGAGCCTCGAGCCCAAGTCAATCGTTTCTGCACGTGTCGCAGGAACCTGAAAGCGCAGATCATTTGTATTTTCACGTGTCCCAGTAAAGTGTGGGGCAGGAAAATGCAAAATGCATCAGGGGTGTCTAAAATTGAGCCCTTCGTGGTGGCCCTCGGAGCGCAGATCACTAGCATTTTCACGTGCCCCGGTTGAGTATGCAGCAGGACATGCGTCAGGGGTGTGTCGAAATGGCAATGCCGTGGCCATGACGGCGCTGCTCACTTGCATTTTTTCGCCAGGAAATGAGTGAGGGGCGCGCCGAAGCGAGGACCTCGCAGCCCTGAAGGCGCATCTCACTTGTGTTTTCATGTGCCCCAGGAGCTGTTACTCGCGTGGGTCTAGTGCTGGGAGCGCGCTTCGCTAGGGTCTCTACGTGCCCCCTGGAGAATTGATGGAATCGGCCGGCGGAATGCGCGAAGACCTTTTTTGCATGCCTTACGCATGCCAATCTCATCCCCGATGTCATCATCATCATCATCATCATCATCATCATCATCATCATCATCATCATCATCATCACCACCATCACCATCACCATCACCATCACCATCACCATCACCATCATCATCATCATCATCATCATCATCATCATCATCATCATCATCATCATCATCATCGGCATCATCATCATCATCATCATCATCATCATCATCATCATCATCATCATTATCATCGTCATCATCATCATCGTCATCGTCATCGTCATCGTCGTCATCATCATCATCATCATCATCATCATCATCATCATCATCATCATCATCTACCCTTGGAGCTGAACACACGACCAGGGCCTGCGGGGGGAGCCCGCTGGCTTTGATCGCTTGGCTCGTTCCGCCGACCCAGATTACTCCGTCGCGGGCATTTGCCTACGTGTTCGTTGCCACTGCGGTGCTGGTGGGTGGTGGTACGGTCCCGCTTATGATTAAGAAACCTCCCCTCTGAAAAGCTGGCCCAGCGTTTCTTAACCAACTTGCTGGAAAGCTGGCTCGGCTTCCTCAGGGGATTGATAGCCTTGGACCCTAGAAATGAATAACGTACGTTCCTGGCTCCAAAAGCTGGCCCAGCGTTTCATTAAGACACTTCTGAAAAGTTGGCCCAGCTGTCTTAATTGATAATTTTCTGAATCATATGTTTGACTGTCGTTTCTTCGGATTGTTGCGTGAATAGTCATCGGCGTCTTGTGGCCTCTTGGAAAACAGTTTTGGTACTGAGGGGTCTGTCGGGGGAGTTGTTCGGGCTTCCGGGAGCTCTGGGGGACTTCTTGGGCAACTGCTGGCGGTTTCAAGGGCAATATTTCGGGGACGGCTCGATATGCGAGTTCGAACTCTTTCTCGTGAGGCCTTTCTGCGGGCCTCTGGCGCCCTCTTGAGAGGCCCTTTGAGTCGTCTTGGGTCCCTCTTGGGATGTTTTGGTGCTGTCCCGGGAGCGTCTTGGGCTGACTCAGGGCGATCTTGGCGGCCTCCTTGGCTGTCCTGGGCGGTTGGAAGCCTGAAGCGGCGGTGACGCCAAACTCTTTCAAAAACCCAGGCAAGTTAGAGGATTTTGCCTCTTGTGGCCCTCTTGAGGGGTTCGTCGGGGGTGCTTTTTGGGCCCGCCTGCTGGCGGTCTCAAGGGCCATCTTTCGGGGATGACTCGACAAGTGAGTTCGGATTCCTTCTCGTGGGGCCTTTCTGATAATGAGGAGAAGGAGGAGGAGAAGGAGGAGGAGAAGGAGAAGGAGGAGGGGCTGGATGCGGAGTATGGTAGGGCGGGAACTTTCCTCAGACGCCTTGCCCCCGCCGCCTTCTCGGCGCGCCTGACCTCCTTCTGCTGCTGCTGCTCATCCTCCTTCCTTTGACCCTCTCTGTTGCCCCTCTTCCCAGGGGCGACCAGGAGGGCGAGGGGCACTCGGGGGCGGAAAAGAGGTGGGTGATGACTAGGGGGGGGGTGGATATCATGGCGGGGGCCATGATGTTTCCCCAGATCTCGTGGCACCTCTTCTTATTTCATTACGTCCCTGGCCCCCCCGCTGGGCCGCGCACGTGCCGCCGGTCATGATTTGCACCCCCCCCTCCTGGACACCCCCCTCTTGGCCGCTGCCGAGGCACGGGAGGAGGCCGAGGGGGGAGAGCGCGGGAAGGCGCCCGTGGGGCACGCAGGGTGCCTTCGGGAGCCTCCAGGGGCTTCCGAGGGCCATGGGGGAGAACGGGGCTCGAGCTGGACGGTGTGTTTTCACGATTTCGTGGGCCGTTTTCGTTCTGACTTCGTCTCGCAGCAGGTGCAGAACGAAGGCGGAAGGAAGACGGAGGATCACAACAGGAACACGAGCACTACACTGTTGAGCTCGGGCCCTGGAGGAGAGGGGGATGCAAATGCTCGGTGGTGCAAAGATGGGGTCCTGAGGGATGTGCCCCCGGGAGCGGGGTGCCTCCAGCAGTGCTGATCCCGCCCTTGGATCCCTTCCTGTCCTTGGGACCCCACCCCTCAGAACCCCATCTTGGAGCCATCGAATTGCGCCGCCCTGTCAGGGCCACAGAAGTGAGCGAGCGGGCGGTGTGCCAGGGTAGTCTTCAGACGCTGCGGGAGTGTTCCCCCCCCCCCCCCACCCCCCCACTCGCGGCGCAAGCGTGAGGACGGGGAATGACGAGCAAGACGATGATGAGGAGGAGGAGGAGGAGGAGGAGGAGGAGGAGGAGAAGAGGAGGAGTCCAGATCTCCGACGCCGAGCTTCTTGTAGCGGGCACCTGGACCTCTTGGCCCCCTATGGTGTTCGCCATATCCGTCGCGTTCGAGGTGCTGCCTCCTCCTCCTCCTCCTCCTCCTCCTCCTTCTCCTCTCCTCCTCCTCCTCACCTCCTCCCGTCCTCCTCCTCCTACTCCTCCCCCTCCTCCTCCGCCCAGGAGCGTGCCTCGCCCTCGACGCATCCTCGCCACCGCGGAGCCGCGCAGGGCCAAGTGGAAGCCAGCCCGGAGGCCAAAACGGCGGCGGCTCCGCCGGCGAGGGTCGCGAAGGCGCTGATGCAAACGTATGTGCCAGCGGTTTTTGTGCTCGAAGTCCCTCCTCCTCCTCCCCTCCTCCTCCTTCCCCCCCCTCCCTCCTCGCCCCTCCCCGCTCCTCCTCCTCCTCCTCGTCCCCTCCCCCTCCCGCCTCCCCCTCCCCCTCCTCCCCCTCTCCCCTCCCCCTCCCCCTCCCCTCCTCCTCCCTCCTCCCTCCTCCTCCTCCTCCTCTCTCCTCCTCCTCCTCCTCCTCCGCCTCCTACCTCCTCCTCCTCCTCCTCCTCCTCCCCTCCTCCCCCTCCCCCCAGCAACTCGGGCAACTCGGGCATCCCTGCCAGCACTCGAAGTTGGCACGGGCAGCCTCCGGCTCTGCTGGAGCCATAGTTATGTCGGGCTGCGCTGGGGTCCTCGAAGGCCCGGTGGGGCACCGTCGAGCTGTTCCCGGGGCGCAGGGGGGGGGGGGGGGCCTCGCGCCCCCCATCGAGCAGTGCTGCAGAGCATCGGGAGGGACGGGGGGCAGCCAGCCATTTCACGTGCTCTCCCACCCCTCAGAAGCAGGGCTTGGCGCACTCGCGGCGCGGCTCGAGTGGCGCTCCATGTGCGGTCCGTGCCCGTCACATCTGGGGACTATCGTCGGCGCCAGCGTGGAGACATCGCGCTTCTGCTCCCCACAGCGCCGGTTCGATCAGGCTCGACCGCGTCTTCGAACGGGTCAGCTTTCGATGTCCTCCATTCTGCTAGCGGGCATGGTTCATCCCCGTGTCCTGCCCCCCTGAGCATCCCTGCTCACCCCCCCTCCCCTTGCCATCCCCTTCCCTTCTCCCATGGCTCACGTTTTCCGTACAGTCGAAAACGATGGTAAGGATGGGTAACTTCCCCAAGGGTACCCTTGCAGCCGTGCCTCGATGGTCCATCCTTGCCTACTTTCGATGGCCCGCCGCGCTCGAAGACGCCTCAACACGGGCGTCCAAGGGGCTTGCATTCTTATCGCACATCCTTACTATCAGTTTTGACAGCGCCCCCCTGGCTGAATGAAGCCGTATGTACTCCGGAGTCCTGCGCTGAGCCGCGCGTGCTCAAATGGTACCAGTTCCGACGCGATGACGCAGCGATTGCCACTTGCGAAGCCCAACTCGCCTTCTCTCCCCCCCGCGCCCCTCGCTCTTTGCCCTTTCGGGCGGGCCTGGAATCGAGATAAATCCGCTCCAGAGCGTTCCAGAACGATCTCAGAGCGCTCCAGAACGCTCTGAAACGTCCTGCTGCGCCAGAGACGTCCTCCCAGCCCGCCGAGCCTCAGGGTTTTCCGACCTACATCGGGCCGATGTCGTCTCAACTCTGCCTTCGTCTTATTCCCCCCCCGTCGCCCCTCGCTCCAGTGCTCCCACTAGCTACGAAGTGTCTCCAACCTCAGCCTCATGTCGGCTGATTCCCAGCCCTGCCCTTTACTGCCCCCCCTCTTTCGCCTTGCCCCAGAAACCCACATCCCGCCTTCTCGCCCCATCGCTCCTTGCCCTGTTTCTGCCACTCCTCCGCCCCTTCCTCTGCCCCCCCCCCCGCCGCGGCTCCTTTCCCGCCATCGCCCTCGGCCCCAGGCCGGCGCCTCACGAGCTGGCGTCAGACTGCGCAGGCAGGGCGCGCCGCGCGCCGTGCCTCCGCCTCCTTCTCCTCCTCGTCCTCCTCCTCCTTCTCCATTCCTTTTCCTTCTATGTAAATGATCTCTCCCTGTCGCACCCCGAGGCCAGTTTTCAGGATGGGCTGGGCGTTTCGTCTGAGGCTTCCTCACCATTTTATAATTCTGAAGCTTAAGAAATGGCAACAGTTTCACAGATGGAGGGCGGGTGGTTTTCAAAATGTGGCTCTCGCCTTAGCGCCGCGCTCACTCTTGTGGGACCTGTGGGACACGTTACACTTGTGGGACACGTGGCACTTGTGGGGTCCTTCCTGTGCGGCCTGTAGGGTTTGTTGGACCTGTGGGACCTGCGGGACTTGCGAGCCCTGTAGGACGTGTGGGACCTGCGGGACCTGGGCTACCTGTGGGGCCTGTGGCACCTGTGGGGCCTGTTGCACCTGTGGGACCTTTGGAACCTGTGCGACCTGTGGGGCCCGTGGGACGTGTGAGACTTGTGAGACTCGTGAGACCTGTGAGACTTGTGGAACTTGTGTTACCTGCGGGGCCTTTGGAGCCGCTGGGCCGTATGGGACCTGTTAGACCTGTGCGATCTGTGGGATTCGTGGGCCCTGTGAGTCTTCACCCCTTAAGCAGGAGGTCCCCGCTCGAGCTTTTTGTTCCACTCACAGGCGAAACCCCCGTTTGAGGCACCCTCGTGATTTGTGCTTTTGGGATGCTCAACTGCTGTGTCAACTGCAGTATGCCGATGGCCGCCTCACCTTAAAACAGCATGAGGCGGGAGCCCCATGGGAGAGGTGGCTACCACTCCAGACCTCCCTGCGATTCACTCACAGACGAGCCCCCCCGCTCTAGACATCCTCGCGATTTGCGCTTTTGGGGTACTCAACCAGTATGCTTGCTACAGTACGCCGATGACCGTTCCGGATTTACCACATGAGGCGGTGACCCCATAGGGAGGGGATTCACGCTCGAGACTTCCTCGTTATTCACTGGCAGACGAGGCTCCCACTCGAGACTTTCTGGATATGAGTGTGCGAGACTGTGGGTGAGTGAGTGCGGAATGTGTGTGTGTGTGTGTCTGTGGATGTGGGAGTGTGTGTATGTAGTGGTGATGACGACGACTACGAGGACGACGATGATGATGATGATGATGATGATGATGATGATGATGATGATGAGGATGAGGATGAGGATGAGGATGAGGATGAGGATGATGATGCTGCTGCTGATGATGATGATGATGATACTGATAATGATGAGGATGATGATGATGATGATGCTGATGATGATGATGATGATGCTGATGCTGATGCTGATGCTGATGCTGATGCTGATGCTGATGCTGATGATGATGATGATGATGATGATGACGATGGTGCTGCTGCTGCTGCTGCTGCTGCTGATGATGATGATGATGATGATGATGATGATGATGATGATGATGATGATGATGATGATGATGATGATGTGGGAGTGTGTGAATGTGTGTGTGTGGGGGAGTGGTGATGGTGATGGTGAGGATGGCAGTGATGGTGTTGATGACGATCGATTGTCATGATGGGACGGTGATATTTAGTTATGATGGTGGTGTGATGGTGATGGCGAGCGTGGAGGAAGACGAGGAGGAGAGGGGAGTGAGGTCAGGAGGTGAGGACTGCGCGGGTGTCCGGAGAAAGCAGGAGCCCCCACCTGGGGATGTGGGGAGCGGCGCTGTCGCCCCGCCACATCTGTGCCTGATGGCCCTGTCGGGCCACTCCGACCCCCCTCAACCTCGTGCCGCTGCGTCTCCCCGACCTGTCCCCCTCCCTCGCCACACCCACGCTCCGCGCACTCCGCCGTCCTCTTCTGTCGTTGCTTCGGGCTGCCTGGGAGCTCAAGGCCTGGCCGGCGGGAGACCCACCGAGATCTCCCCCCCCCCCACGCCTGGAGCGCGTCGCCTGCCAAGGCACAGCGACCGCGCCGAGGCCGCGATCGACCGACCGTCCCACCCCCGACGAGGCTGCGGCCTGGCCTTCGTCACCGGCCTGCCGGGCTCCATGCGGCACCACTGCCGGGCCTGCGGCGCCTCGCTGTGCTCCGCGTGCCTGTGCGGCAGCGTCACCTGCATGGGCAGCGGCTTCTGCACGCACAAGGCGGCGGCCGGGCTTCGCCGGCGGCGCGCGCAGAGGGGTTGGGCGCGGGGGGGGGGGCGGCCAACTGGGCAGGCGGAGGGCTTCTTTTGAAGGACGGGGCCTGCCAAGAAGGCCCGGGGTGCTTCCAAGGAGGCTTCTTGCAAGCGGGGAGGGCTTTGAGATGGCCCCGTCCTTCTACGAAGGCCCCCGTCTTTTCAGAAGGCCGCGCCCCTTACATGCTACCCCCTTGAGCCCTTGAGCGCGCCGCCAATTCCAATGGTTCAAGTGTTTCCTGTTCTTGTTCCTCTCTGGGCCTCCCAGGGCTCCTCTGGAATCGGCTGGATCCGCTTC